GGTTCTGCTGGCTCACGTGCCATTATATAGACGGTCCTGACTGCAGGTTATTTATTATCTTTTTCCTCTTGCGCTTTTCTGGACCCACTCTCCCGCGTCCTTGGGAGACGTCCTGTTCTGTGTCCCGGTCTCCCTCCTCTTCTCGCTCCCTCTCCCTCTCGCTTTCTCTCTCTCTTCCCCTCTCCCCCAACGCTGCCCCCCTCCCGGCTGCAGTGGTGGCTCCGCCTCCCCCCTGTCAATGAGTCTGGCATCCACAGCAACGCTGCCATCGCAGCCAGAGGAACGCTCTCCCAGCCTCTGAGCCACGCACTCTTGCAGGCACGCACGCACACACACGGACACACGCGCGCACACACACCGGCGCCAGGACGCGATCACGCAGACACACACGTGGCCTCACACGGACGGCGGCTCGCACGCCATCTCGCACACACGTACACACGCACGCACACACGCACGCACGTGCACGACCCTGCTCTGTCGCCCGAGGTGGCAGGAACTCTGGGATGAGGTGATGTTCTGGGATAGGAAGCACGGAGTGATGGGGAACTCCCAGCGCCGGTCCAAGGGGAGGCACCGACCCCTGGGGGCAACAGGTACCTGAGCGGACGGGGTGGGACAGCTGCTCTTTAGCGCACTGGGTTTGCATTTGCGGCAGTGGGTGGGGGTCAGTGTCAGATACGGCTCTCCTGGTGTGCGATATGCTATGTAGGTTCAGCTGGATCGGCCAGCATCTGGTGGGACTGGGTGGGATGGATGAACTGGGGTTTTGGGTAGACTGGGTTCAGCGGTAACTAGAGGGGCTAGAGATTGGATGGACTTGGTGGACAGGGGCGGGGAGATTTTACTGCCGGTCGCTGTGAGCCCAGCTGCGAGGATGGTGTCACCGGAGAGATGAGGATGCTCACTGCTGGCAGGACAGCGGACCACACGGGACACGCATACACATGCTTACACACGCATACACACTCTTACACACGTGTAGCCGCGCTCATCTCCATGCCAGTACATGCATACGGGCACGTTACTTCGCACACGTGCAAATGCTCACACCGGCGCCCACCCACACTTATACACATGCATGCACATGCACACACACACGCCTGCACCCCTATTCGCTGAGCCCCCATACATGTGGCCCGCTCATTATTTGCCGCCATCGATCACCGCTGCCGGTTCCCTTGACTACCGCGGTGTGCTATGCATGTCGAAGGAAATGCCACACGTCCGCGACGCCGATCGTCCAGCCGATGACCTCTCCCTGCCCGGGGAGAGCCGGGGCTGCGGCGGCGTGTGGTCGCCATGGTGACATGCCAGCATTGAGGCGGGTTGGGGGGGGGGCAGGGGGCCGCCATGGCCCCCTGCTTCTTGCGCCTGTGTGCGTTAATCCCAGCAGGCTTCAGGGAGTAGGAGGTGCAGTCAGCGTGTGTTTAAATCCCATTTGAGTATCTTGTTTGTGTTCTTATGCTCTTTGGGTTTGGGTGTGTGTGTGGTGTCCTGGCAGAGGATTAACATTAACATTTAAAATATACTATATGTACAAAGTCTGTTTTCTTCCCATGTTCATGTCGTGGATCCCAGAATTTATGGGTCCAATCCCAGGGTTTGTGGGCCTGATCTCAGGATTTGTGGGTCCAATCCCAGGGTTTGTGGGCCTGATCTCAGAATTTGCGGATCTAATCTTGGGGTTTCTGGGCCTCATCGTAGCATTTAAGGGTCGGGTCCAGCTGCAGGTCTTTCCTTGTTTCCTGGCACGATTCCAGTCATGAATAGCTTTCCATGTGTTTGTTGGGTCAGAGACTGTTTCGGACTACAGCAGGAAGGTGCCTCACCCAAAGCCCAGCCAAAGGTCCCAGTGTGAAGATGACCTGAGTGACAGTGGGGTATGGAAAGTAAGTCACAAAACCCCCTGCTGGTCCCCAGGCAGGAAAACAGTTTGGCTGCCTTTGGGAAGGAAAGAGTGGCGCTGGGGGTCGTGTGGCTGGAGACCGGGAAGGAAGCATCCACATGTTTGTCCTGGAGCTGGTGACAGACAGACCCCTCCTACCAGTGCCTGTCGCTCCGTCTCCCTCACTCTCTCCTCCTCTCTCCATATGCCACCTTCTCCCTCAATATCTCCTTCTTATCTCCTCCTTTCTTAATCTCCTCCATCTATTTTTTTCTTTATTTCTCCATCTCCATCGTTCTGCTCTGTATCTTCTTCCCCGGCTCCTCCCATCCCATTTGCCTCACCCCCACATTTGTGGACATGAAGGGACTGGATCATTTCTGGGGTGAGAGAGGTAACCTGGGACACGCTGGAGCAGAAGCAGGTACTGGGATTGTCGCAGGGTGGGTGGGGATGTTGGGGGTATGTACTTGTTAAGTTTCTTTCTCATACTAGTGGTCATAATGCTTTACTACATGTCCATACAATGCTTGTGTTAACCAATCCATCCACTGACTTTTAACCCCAAAATCTGTTACATTGGTCAGGGTTGTTGCCTGTTCCATGCCTGCATTAAATCCCTTTGCATAAATCTCAGTATGCTGCTTAAATTAAATGCCTGTCTGCCTATAATAAATGGGCATAATAAATGTTTGCATATATTAAATACCTGCATAGTGTCTATACTAAATGCCTAAAAAAGTCTAAATACTAAATGCCTATTATAAAAACCCGTACAGTGCCACTACTCGGTGCTTATTCTATGATTATTTTAAATTCCTGTAATACCTGTATAGTGCCTTTACTAAATGTCTATTCTACATTGCTATGATACATGCCCATAGGGTGCCTTTTAAATTCCTATAATACTTGTACAGTGCTTTTCTCAATGCATATTTTATGCCTATTCTAAATTCCTATAATATAAAAACACCAGTAGAAATACCTGTAGAATACCTATACTAAATGCCAATAATAAATACATGTAGAGTACCTATACTAAACGCATATGCTATGTATATTCTAAATTCCTACAATAATTATTAGATTAGATTATATTAGATTAGACAAACTTTATTGATTCTTGGAGAAATCAAGTAGAGTGCCTTTACTAAATGCCTATTCTAAATTAATGAATACCTGTAGAGTACCTGTATTTATTGCCTGCAGTCGAACCCTTGAGAGAGACTCTACCTAAGCGTACAATCCGAAGTTAATGATAGACGTGTGTCTCTGCTTGTGTGCACTACAGAAAACTGACTGTGTATATCAATATTCGAGCGCCCCCCCCCCCACGGCTGGAGTCTAATCGTCTCTCTAGTCTGCAGTTGTCTGTTTGTGCTCTTCCGCATGAGTGAAATACTGACCAAAATCGCGAGCGGGAGTCAGCAGTTTGAGCCGCAGCGGCTCAGCTGTGAAAAGGAGGGAGGCATCCAGAAAAGGGGAGGCTAAGTGAGAGCTATAGTCTGAACCAGCCACTGACTGGTGTAACGACAGTGACAGGCTGTCTCGCTCTCCTCCGGTCTGTGAAAAGCAAAGGATTCTGGGTCAGGAACACAAGGCCATGTAATCCACCCCTGATGTGCCAATCCAGTGGATACAATCATTGCCTGAAATTATTGTTCAGTGTCCCATGATAGGTTGGGATGGACCCAGAGCACATGCTGTCAGAAAGACATCCAAGACCACCTTGTCACTGCCATCAGCCTAAAACTCCTTATTACTCCTTATTACATTTATGTTCAGTGTCACATTACAGAGCATTGTCTGTGGGACAGTAATTCCAGTAATTCCGAATTAGAATGAGACCCCATGGATTGTCTGCTTGGGTAGAGCTTCATGTGTCTTTCACACGATCCAGCAATATTTCAAAGTCAGATATTTAAATATTGTGCCAGGCTTGAAGCCTTCCTTTTATTTAATACTATATCATCAAGACACAATGGCCCAGGAACTGTTACGGAGAGATAGTTTCATTCCCTTGGTGACTGTTCATATCTTTTTGCCTCAGACATCAGGTCAGGGCTATAAATTTGAATACCGACCAGTATAATTTTTTTCCCGCTGCTGTTTCATCCAGGCTGAGATCAGTGCCTCGTTGGGCAAGACAATGGCCTGGAATGAAGGGTGTGGATGAGGAGCAATGCGAGCCGCTGTCATAGCAGAGGTGATGGCACAATTCATCCCGCGGTCGTCTGTCCAATCGTATGTGGAGCTCATTCCCCAAAGCGATTGATTACCCAGGCCGAGTGATAAAAATAGGCGAGATGGCATTTCCCTCCATCTGGCTCAGCATCGCTCAGCTGCGGCGGTAAAACCGAACGGCGTCGCTACCGATCGCTTCAGACCCAAGAGCGCAAGGAGAAGTAGCAGGAAGCTGTCGTTTTCAGATAGGTGTCGGTCAGGGCTTTACGTTAAAGGATGCTTTGTGTCACAACAAGTGATTTAGCAGAAAATCCAATTATTCATCTCCTCCATCTCCATTTATCCAGTACAGGGTTGGAGTATATCCTAGGAAGCATAGGGCACTAGGCTGGGGTACACCCTGCATGGGATGTCGGTTCATCACAGGGTGCACACCACACACACTCACTTAGACAATCACACAGTATAGAAATGCTCTGGACAGCAGGAGGAAACAGGAGTACACAGAGGACTCTCGCACAACGCAGACCCCAGGGTGGGAGTCGAACCCAATACCCTGGAGGTGTGAGGCGATTGTGCCACCCAATGCCACCCTTCAGTAGAAATTAGCTGCATATTAAAGCAAATTGTGTGTTTTCCGATGAAGCAAATCACTAGGCAATCAAGTGTATTCACTGCTCCAGACTTGGTGTTTATCTTAGCTTCTCTGCTGGATCTGCTTGCTGGGCTGAGACCAGGCTGAATGTTCTCTGGTGGTCAACAGAAAATAATTGGGGAAAATACACAATATCCAATTAAAGGGTCTAGCATGTACTGTACCCACTTGATCACCTTCAACTGAATCATACCTGTTTTGTCTTGCTAACTGCAAGCTGCTCTGATTTTTTTTTCACATTTTAGTTATGCAGCTGAATCCTTTATTTGGTGTTGATTACCTGGGTGGTTTGCTGTGGCTGTTCAGACTAAATACCTTCTTCAAGGGTCCATGTCCTTAACTATTGTAGTACCTGCTGTTCATGTGGCCTGTTTGCCATGTTACCTGTTTGCCATGTGATCTGTTTGCCATGTGACCTGTTAAGGTAGCACCTTTCTAAGCATTGCGGTCAGCTAGTCTAACTAACCTTGCAAGTGGCTCCTGGGTCCATGGACAGAAATGAGGGTGTGGTATAAAAATGGGAGGGTGGCCACGTGTTAGCAGTGAATTATGGTGGATGGAAATTTGGAGATGTGGCCAGTTAGGTCCGTGCCAGAAAGCCAGCGCTTTCAGGCGATTCCTGTGCAAATGAATCCCGAAATGCCCGCTGCTTTGATGGTTCGGAAGCGATCGGCTTCACAGCTTGCCACCCCACAAATTAAATAGCACTGGAATTAGGCCCAAAGTGTCACACAGTCGACAGCATCAGTGTGTTTTAATAACAGCAGAGTGTCCCTTGGCAGGGCTGGGAAAACAAACAAGCGCAAGTGCTGAATTATTTAGTCTACCGTCCTTACCTGACGCTTGCGTGTCCCATCCCGGCCTCCCGTCTCTCCCTGCCGTCTCTCGCTGCTCCGGGTCACAGCAGCTCCTGGCTACGTCATCTGGATGATCCAAACAACCTGTGAGACCCCCTTCCGACAGCCACTAGCCTCCCCCTCCAAAGCTGTCAGAGGAAAGCTTTCCGAGATACCGTGATACGTACATTGCTATTAGATTGGGTCTGTTTTTGGGGGCATTTCTTAATCCCTGAGCTGACAGTCATCTGAGAGTAATTAATTAGTCTGCTTGTGGTTAATTAAGCCTGCCGTGTCTTCCACTGGACACTGGATCAGGGGCATGTTCTGTGGTTGTCCTGGCGATGGAGTGGGGCGGAACTGGAGAATATTCCTCTGTCCTCTGATTGTATTGTCTTGCATTTGTTTATAGAGAACCATGCAAGATTTAGGGATTGTATGTCTTGCTTCGGGCTCATTGGTGAATAGAATCACATAACCATTATATTTTTTTAGCTCCTTTTACCCAAAGTGAAGTACCATTGAGAAAGTAGAGTCAGTGAGTCTCTGGAGCAATTGGGGTTAATGGCCTTGCTCAAGGACCCAACAATGAAATTACTCTGCCAACACTAGGATTTGAACTGGCAACCTTCCGATCACAGGCACAGTACCCTAACCTGCTGTGCCACACATCACCCCCACACAGGTGGGCGGAATGGGAACCATTTGTAGGTGCACAGGAATTTAACAAAACTGGGGAAAGATTAAAAACAAAGGCAGCCATTTTAGCATGGTTACTGGGGAGATCAGAGGAAAACCAAACCAACACTGGGTAATGGAAAGGGCTTCATATGGTTGACAATAAAGCCTTGTGATGGACAGACATCCCATACAGAGTGTCCCCAGCCCTGTTCTCAGTGCTTCCTGGGATGCGCTCCAAGCTGGTCCTCACCTGGATGAGGAGCTAGAAGATTGACACAGAAGGACGGATGCCAAAAACGAATAAGCGAAGTGAATGAATGCACTTTACGCTTGACTGTCCCCTACTCTGTCTACCCCCACCTCCATCTCACCGGGATGTTAAATGGAATTATAGTCACATGGCATAGTGTTTACATGAGGACTGCTTGACATGGGATTGTTTCCGTGTACGTACCAGAGAAAGACTGAAAACGATGGTGCCAGTTGAAGGTGCCAATATACCCCCATTCATCATTATCCTTTATGCCATCCTCAGCTGGAGGCAGTAGGGGGCGTTGCAGTTAAAGGAATCAAGCTTGTGCCTAAACGGCTGCAGATTGAAGCCCCAGGAGGACCCCCTTGTCGTTACTTCCTGTGGCCATAATGCAGCGGCATAGGGTATCTTTATCTTCAAAAATATAACAATAAAGCAGCTCGAGTTGAGCTGGCGAGGTTTCAGAATGCGAGTGAGCGAGCGAGAGAGACACGTTTGGGCCTGCGTGCGCTTTTCTGAGCCGTCTGCCAGGAATAGACGGGAGCAGGTGCAATTTCACCCACTATGGTTCTTTGAAGAAGAACGGCTCTGAAAAAAAAAACGTCTGGTGCAGTAATTACAAAGAAATCCATTTGTACCCTGCCTAGCAGAGTGTGAAGACACCCGAGTGATTAGGTTTGGAAAAACCCAACAAAAACATTAGTGACACTTGTGTTCCGAGTTCCGGTAGGCAAGGAATTATCCACAACAATGGCTGACACCTGTCAAAGTGTTAGATGAAGGACATCCTATCTCTGCGGGCCAGGTCATTGTGGTTACCCTTGCGTTGTAGTGTAGATTCATGTATGCATACTTATTGATTGGTTTAACTTTAGTTTGACCCCTGCTTGACCGCAGTCCGACCCTTAGCTGACCCTCCTGACCCTGAGCTGTACCCAATGACATTGAACACTGTCTCTGCGAGGCTCGGGGAGCTTACAGGCAGTATACAGCTGCTGAAAGCTGACAGGAGATGCCTCTGAACCTCTGATGAGAAGATCCACCCGGTCATCCTATGGTTTCCAGTATCGTGTCCATTCAACATCTGCTTGCCATCGTTATATCTCTCCTCGTCGTTAAAAGAAGGTGAAACTCACTCACTGGCAACTTGCACAAAATGCACTGCTGGAGGCTCTCTGGGTCACAAATGGAACATGCCGGTGTTTACCTAGTTTGCCATGTCTGCGACCAGAAAGACAGTTTGGGCCGGGACCCCCACTGTTTACCCCATGGTTAACGCAGCACCCCCTACCCCCAAAAACACACCACGGCTGCTTACTGGTCACAGTCATCTTATTAATTATACTCAGAAATGCGATTACAGAGCGTTTCTTCCGCCACGTCTGTGGCTCCTCCCCTGTGATGCCGCATTACCTAATGGATGTCTCTTGGTAGTATGCAAATTCCACACATTCTTACATTTTGCTCTCTCTCTCTCTCTCTCTCCCTTTCCCTCACGTTTTCACTCTCTTCCTGCCTCCCTTCCTTTCCTTTCCTTCCCCTCTCTCTATCTCTTTCGCTCTCTCTCTCTCTCTCTCTCTCTCTCTCTCTATTTCTCTCTCTCTCTCTCTCTGTACCAGCCACCACTAACTTGGACGCGGAGAGCAAGCGAGCGGCCCACTTCCGATCGTCATGGCAACAGCATGTGAATGTGTTCGGCTCGTGGAGTAGGCCGGAGTGCGTGCAGCAGCTGCGTCAGGAGGCAGAGCTCAATCTCCAGAGCCTGCTCCAAGGTAGGAGCTTTGGGGGCTTTTTGGGGGTGCGGGGGGTGCGGGGGGTGTGGGGCTGTGGGCGTGAGCTGGGCACCGTCTGACTGCCCCCCATCTTTTTCCTCTCATTTTTTTCCCCTAAACGTGCGGCGAGATGCGAGGTACTTCTCGTCCACCCTCCGATCTTCCTCTCTCTCTCTCTCTCTCTCTCTCTCTCCCTCCCTCCCTTTTCCATCTCCTGTCATCCTCAGCGCCTGCCCCTCCCTTTCAGCGTTTTCATTCATCTTTATTGGCAGCTCGAATTATCCGTCTATGCCCTCGTTTCCGTGAAGGAGCGGGCAAATGAACGAGTGAGCGATCGGGAGAAAGGGAACGCCTTTGAAGCGCCACTGCCGCCGCGCGTCCCGGCCGCCGCTCGATGCTCCTTCCCGCGTCGCCGAGCCTCACATCAGGGAGAGGATCGGCGTGCTCGGCAGGACTGTGGCTGTAGGGTGAATACCAGCGATACCGATGCCAAACCAGTGAGGCCAGTTAGGGCAAGTGGTGCCAGTGCCAAACCAACTAAGTTCCAGTGATGCCAGTGACAACAGTGATAAACAAGTGGCACCCAGACCAGAACCCATTCAGAACCAGCAATTGCACTGGAGAAACAGAACAGGACCCCTGATTACTGTGACAGAACCAACTCTGAAATAATGAACCGGTATAGACTCAGTGACACCAGTGATGGACCAGTTTAGTATCAGAGATATTAGCCCCAGGTTGATCAAAACTGCAAGTAAACAACCCCTTACTTTGTCCGATATTGCCTGGGGATGAAGATGTATGCTAATCCATGTTCCTGCTTGGAACCGACCCGTAAGACCAGTAAGGAAGCCAGTTAGCCTGCCTTGCACACCTGTATCTCATTTGGTGTTACTGTACATGCTGACTTGCTGTCTCCCGTGAAGCCACATCTGCTGACGGAGCACTCGCTGGTCCTCCTCTGTCCGCACGCGTCAGGTGTTTGGTACCCGTGTTTGGTTACCTGCGCCGCACCGTGATTCTGTGTCTTCCATCCTTTTCTAGTTTGGAGAAGTGTGGTTATATATGAAGGGAGGGCAATATTGGAAAGGAGTGTGTGTGGGCGTCTGGAAGGTTTTGCCATCTAACCTTCAACTGATATTTTGATGTGTTTTTGTGATTATTATATTGTTGGGACCAGATTTCCCCATAATGTGATTAAAAACCAGTAACTTTTTACATTAATTTCGGTCCCCACAAGGATAACCTTAGTTTTATAAAAATCTTTGAATGCAATCAAAAAAAAAAAAAAAGCCAAAATTCTTGTATTTTGTTTGGTTACTTATGATTAAGGTTCGGGCTGGGTAGGGGTTAAGGTCATCATAGCTGGGATTATGGTTATGCCATAGAAATGAATGGACAGTCCCCATAAATATATGAATATCTAGACTGTGGTTGCTGGCTGGGATGGCTCTGTCTGAGGAATCAGCTGTGGTCTCGCTGGAAGCATGCACCCTGCTCCCTGTTTGCCCTATTTCGTTCGAGGTCGTTTATAAACCTCAGTGTTTGTTTGTGTTTGTTTTTCCCAGGGTAATGACGTAATCTGGGCATCTGGTTATGAGTACGCGTATGTGCATATGTTTAAAAAGCTCGTTTTTAAATATGCGTGCTTATGTAAGCATATGTGCTGCATGTTCCCTTAAGCACAATGCTGACACACAGACCCCTGTCTTGTTTATCTGGTTTGTGCTGAACGCCGAGCTGAAGTTTTGAGAATCCGGAGCTATTTTCTCTCTGACGTTTGTCGCCTGGTGAGGGAGAGACTCGACTTTGCTCTAGGAGTCCGGTAGCGTGGGTTGCTTTTGTCATGAGCTTCTCTGGGCGTCTGCTGCCGAATTGAATCTCTGAAACAGCAACACGTTAACACATCAACATATTACTGCATGCGCATGCATGTGAGGCACATGGGAGAGATACTGCGTGTTAGAAAATATACTTTGCTTGTGAGCATCTGTTAGGCTTTGTGTGTGCATGTTTTTTTGTGTCTTCCATGTCCAGGTTTGTTTGTGTCTTCCATGTCCAGGTTTGTTTGTGTCTTCCATGTCCAGGTTTGTTTGTGTCTTCCATGTCCAGGTTTGTTTGTGTCTTCCATGTCCAGGTTTGTTTGTGTCTTTTCCATATGCATGTTTGTTTGAGTCGTCCATGTGCAGGGGCCTGTATCACAAAGCTGATTTTTTGAGTAGAATGATAACTTTTCCGATATAAGGTAGTCCGGACTAAATGTTAGTGACCGAAGATATAGTTTATTTAAACTGGAGTACCTTAAATCCGACAAGCTAACCAATAAATCTTGCTTTGTGAATCAGGCCACTAGTTTTGTTTGTCTTTCATGAGCATATTTGCTTGTATTTTCCATGTGCAGGTTTGTGCATCTGTACGAGGGGAATCAGTATCCCAACACACAGTCCAATGGGTACTTTAAACATTCCCCAGTACCTTGCACCCTAATAAACACCCTCAAATCCCCAGTATTTTGCACCTGAATAAATACTCCCAGCCTGCATCTGAATAACTGAGCGACAGACTGATACTGTGCTGGGGTGTACACCCATTTGCACAGTGCATCCTCCCACCAGCAGTTGGACGAATGCTCTGGCTCCCAATATGCCATTCCCCCCCCCAGCGCTAACACATGGGGAGACAACCCATGTCTGTAGTAATCTGCCGGTCTGTTTTTTCATTATTCTTGTTCCTTAAATTTCCTTAATATTCCAAATTTCTGTTTCTCAGGATATTTTATTTGTGTACTGTGTACTTTTTAATTTGTTTGAATCACGATTACCTGCTTTCACTATCTGTGCTGTCTCTGCACTTTGCTCTATACATATGTTCATCTCTACTCTGCATACTCACTGCTGTATGCAGAAGAATTTCCCCCCCTGGGATCAATAAAGTTTATCTCAATGTTCATCTTAATACAGTGGGACTCCTCCCAACTAGCAGGGGCGGTGGTGGTGGTGGGGGGGGGCACAACAGGGCCTAAGGGTGGAACGCTTTTAGGAGAGCACTTGCAGTTGGGGGGGGTGGACAGTGGAACAGCCTGAGCATGAGAAGGAGAATGATAGAGACTCACTGTTCCCTCTCTTCTCCTATATCTCCTCCCTCCTCCACATGGGGGGGGCACGCAGACTTTGAGGAGCACCTCTACGAGCCTAAAGTGACCGGGCAGACGTTCCGACACCCCTCCTCACTGAGCTCGGAGGACACCTCCCTGAGTGACCCCCCCGGGCTGATCAGCCAGAAACCAGAGTTCATCTTCCTGGTGAGCGTCCCCCCCCCCCCGTCCTGTCTCACACATGGTTTTACCCTTTCGGTACATTTATCACTGTTTAATTAAACTCCCGACATCTCATTACAGTTAAACCTTTTTTTTTTTGTCTTTTGGGTATTGTCAGTAAATGCAATTTAAAATGATGATATAAATGCCGTACTACAAATTACACATTAAAAATTGTGTTAAAAAATGGTTTTTCAGGTGCCAAACAAAAACAAGAAAGATGCTCCTGTATGCATTCCAGCCGAATATTTCTTCATTTATAATGTGTGTACACATTTGTGTTCATGTCCTAAATACTTAATTATTGATGCAGGTAAACATATTTAATTAATTTGTATTTATAAGCACTATTTTCAGAATGAGAGTACACTCTTGTCTCCTCAGCCGGCTTCCAGTGAGGAGTGTGAGGGGGGGGCCACGCCCATAGGGTTTTGGAGTCAAGAGCACAGCATCACTGCTGAGAAGCCGCCCTGGCCCCCTAGTGGTCGGGCCCAAGAACAGCAGTGGCCAACAGACACCACAGGTGCGCCCTGCTTCTCTTCAGATCCCACCCCCCTCCCTTCTTACCTCACCCCCATTACCCCATTATCCGCCTCTCCATCCAGTCGTGAGGCTGCTATGAAGCCAGACTGGATGCCTGTATCCTTTTCCCCCATTTTTGCCCATCCTGCCCCATCTGTAATGCCTCACCTACCCTCTGTCCATCCCCCAGTACAGCAGCTCGTGTCGGTGAGCAGGACAGGGGCCGCCATGGTCCCGCGGTCATGCTCCGCTCGAGGCCAGACAGCGGCGGCAAACAGGTAGCCGTTGCCGTGGCAACCCCGGCTCCTCCGCTGCCCGGCTAGGCTCAGGGGAGATGGCGGAGGAATGTCAGTCCCCGGTTTACGCTGAGCGAGGCAAAGAACTCTGACATGCGTCTGCCCTGCCACAGTACATAGTAGCTATCGCAGTAGCATGTCTGCTCAGCCAGTAACAGATCAATTCTGCTATTAATGCCCCCCCTCTAAATAACATGGGGGGCATAAACATCAGGTGATGTGCCAGTTCCCATTGCCATGACCCAATGCCTATTTTGGACCCTTTTTTGTATTAGTTAGTTAGTTTGTTTGTTTACACACTGTATTTATTTGTTTATTTATTTGTCTATGTTTATTTATTTTTCTCCCCACTGCCTTTTGTTTTCCCCGTCTTTTACCCCCTGACCCCAAATAAAATCCCTGTTCCCCCCTTCCATCGCCATGTCCCTTAGCTCATACAAACCTTGCACACTCCCAATAAGTGATGTTTTCCCCTTGTGCAAGTATGAATACAGGTACACTGGAATACTTCTGTTTGCACATCCCATCTTGCGCTCCTTTGTGAGACACACACACACACACACACACACACGCACACACACACATATATACAGTTGAGACCGATACTCGGGGTCGGATCACAGAGTCGGCCATTTATCTGGCACTTTTGGTGCATTTCAGGGTTTTAAGGGCCCAAGCGGACATGTGACTAAGCTGAACTGGTGACCTTCCAGTCAGAGGCCTAAGCCACACGCTGCCCCCCATCCATCCAGTATCATATTCACGTTTCCAGTAACATGTCCACTGTCCTAGTATGAACTGATTCTACGGATAGTGCTCAGTACTGAGTAACACTATTCAGCAACACTTGTTGCATTTACTACACCAGGAATCAGCACCAAGTAGCACATATTAAGTATCTTATGCAATGTCACTCAAAATTTCAGACAGTTCACAGAGAACATAATTCATCATATAGAATATTTTTTACCATACTGTAAAAGAATTCACAAGAAACTAAATTAGAAATGAATATGACCCTTTTAATAAAGGATTTAACAAAGGATCTCTATGGAAACGTTAAGGAAGTACTAATGATTTCCAGAACTCCTGATGGCATCATAGGGTGAAATTTCTCAGTAAAAACTCATGTATGGATGTGTGCATATGTCTCATAGGAGAGCAAGATGAGAAAAGAACCAATGTACCTATACATGTGTAAATGGTAAATGAAGCATCATTTCATTTACATTTTTCATGTAGTTAAAATGTAAAAGCATTTACTTGCAGTTTATGGACAAAAGTATTGGGGCACCTGGTCATTACACCTACAGGAACTTTTGACATCCCGTTCTAAATCCACAGCATCAATATAGAGTTGGTCCCTCTTTTGCAGCTATAATAGCTGCCACTCTTCTGGAAAGGCTTACCACCAGATTTTGGTGTGTGTCTGTAGGAATTTTTGCCCATTCATCCAGAAGAGCATTTGTGAGGTCAAGCACTGACGTGAAGGCCCGCCTCGCAATTTCCATTCTAGTTCATCAAAAAAGTTGTTCGATGGCATTGAGATCTGGGCTCTGTGTGGGCCAGTTAAGTTCTTCCACACCAAACTCACCCAACCATGTCTTTATGGACCTTGGTTTGTGCATGCTGGAACAGAAAAGGGTCTTCCCCAAACTGTTCCCAGTTCAAAGCATAGAATTGTTCAAAATGTCTTAGATTGCTGAAACATTAAGAGTCAGTAAGAGCCAAACCCAGACTCATCCATCAGAGTGCCAGACATAGAAGAGTGATTTGTCACTCCACAGAACATGTTTCCACTGCTCCAGAGTCCAGTGGTGGGGTGCTTTACACCACTCCATCTGACGCTTGGCATGGTGCTTGGTGATGTGAGGCTTGCATGCAGCTGCTCAGCCATTCCCATTCCCCGAAGCTCCCAAAACAGTTTTTGTGCTGAGTTTAATGCCAGAAGAAGTTCAGAACTCTGTAGTTACTGAGTAAACAGGGTGTTGCTGACTTCTACACACTATGCGCCTTAGCATTCAGCGACCCCGCTCAGTTACTTTACATGGTCTGCCATTTCCTGGCTGAGTTTCTGTTGTTCAAAAATGCTTCTACTTTGCAATAATAGCACTTACTGTTGACTGTGGACTCGCAGGGAAGGAATTTCATGAACTGACTTATTGCAAAGGTGGTATCCTATGCGTATACCAGGCTTGTATTCACTGAGCTATTCAGAATGACCCATTCTTTCATAAGTGTTTGTAAACTTGACTGCATGCCTATGTGCTTGATTTTATACACCTGTATAAGACAGGTCCTGACTTCCTCTCCATCTAGCCCTGAATTCAATGATTAAGTGGTGTGTCCCAATACTTTAGTCCATATAGTGTATCATGGAATTATGTTGTTGTGTTCCTACAGGTGATGAGGCACTTCTACATGTTGACCTGATTCAGGGAATCTGCGGTCCTGAGTCTGACACTAGGTTGCTAACGCCATCTCCCGAAACCCAGAGCCCCCATCTGTTCCTGAGGAAGACCTACAGTGACCTGGAGCAGAACTTGCTGCACTCCCCTGGGAGCCCATCAGGTGCAATGGAGCATGCCGGCCTGATGTGTGGCAGCCCCTCCTGGAACGGGCCCAAGGGCTCCACCTTCTCACCATCTTGGAACAACTCCATGGATTATGTGATGGCTCATGGTCCAGCTACGAAACCACCAACTAACCAACAGCAAGCTGACCTGCTGCTGGACCCCTCCCAGAGTGGGTCAAGCCTCTCCTACAGCTCAGGCTCACACTCAAGCTCCTTTACCTCCAACTCTGTGGAGCCATCAGCCAGAGCTCTGGCTACCACCAGCATTATGGCAGGCAAACGGGCCGAGACTGAAGGTGCTGCAGCAAGTCCCAGGGATCGGGAAAAGAGACCCATGCGGCCCGGGGCCCTCAGGTTCCGTGAACGGTCCCTGTCAACCCCAACAGACTCTGAATCATTCTGCTCGGCCGACAATGTGTCTTGCATGGATACCCAACGCTTAGGAGCCGAGAGCTATGCCTTGATGTACCCTAGTGGGAGTTCCGAGGATGGTGCAAGCGCTGACAATGAGTCTCTGGCGGTGACTGATTTCCACCCTGATGGGCGACTGAGGATAAGGTCCCGAAGCATCTCCCTGAAGAAGTCGAAGAAGAAGCCCCCACCCCCGGTGCGCAGCGTGTCTCTGGTGAAGAACCTTAGGGGGGCACGTGCTGAGGGCCCTCAAAGAGAGAGCAGGCCCAGAAGCCTCTACCTTCCCAGAGAGCACTTGCATGACTCTTATTTATCAGACTATGTGCTCGGGGGAGATGGCAGATCCCTGAAAGAGGAGCCTGACATACCATTGTCCATCAGAGAGACGATGGAGGGGAGTCAGGCACCAGACCAGGAAGTGGAGCTGTCCTTCCCTGACCAATGGCAGCTAAATGAGTGGCACTCCAGTGACCCATACAGGTCACTGTCTGGTTCTAGCACAGCAACAGGCACGACAGTGATAGAGTGCCTGAAAGCACGAGGTAGCTCAGAGTCCCTTGACTCCCCTGGCACCTCTCGTGCCACCTCACCCTCTCAGTTCTCTGTTGAAGCAGAGGCAAAAATCTCCCCCTTCAAGCCCCATGGGCTAATGTCCCCCTCCAGTGGCTACTCAAGCCAGTCAGAGACCCCAACACCAACAATACCCAGTGCTCAAGTGACTGGACCATCGCCATTGGCTTGCAAGATGCGGCCAAAGATACCAGAGAGGAAGTCCTCGCTACCTGCCACATCCCCCATGGAGAGACCTGCCAGGTCACGCCTTTCCTTTGAGCTGCCTGTGGCATCTGCCTCAGAATTGCCCTCTATCAAGCCCAAGCCCAAGGCTAGCCGACGACACTCTGATACATCTCCTACCAGCCAGTCAGGGCAGCCAGTGGTAACCCAGACTGATCTGAGAAACGTGCGTCTTCGTTCTGTTGGCCGCTCAGAGATTGAGGATAACCTGGACTGCCCCGTGGACATCATCGAGGAGGAGCAAATGAGGGATGACGACAGCCCCCCTGTCACACTCCGTGAAAAACCTAAACCACCAGTAGCGGTGAAGCCCCCCCTTCCCAAACGACCCCTCAACCTGATGCTGGAGTCTCCTTCCTCCTCTCTACAGGGTCCAGAATCTCCACCAATCTCGCCCAAAGAATGGCGAATGCCTGTAGGGAACATCTACATGGTGGTGAAAAAACCCAAGAAGAAACCTCTGCAAGCAGCACCCATTGCCACTCAAGAGATCCCTCAACATCAGGAAGTGCTGGACATTCAGCAAGGGGCCAGCCACATTGATCTTCCCTCCCCCTCCAGCCCAAAGAAGGAGCATCAGACCAGGACATTGACCAGCAGTGTCACTGTCTCCTGTTTGGCAGAGCTGGACAGAAAGCGGATCAAGGTTCCCCCTCCGGTCCCAAAGAAACCCAGTGTCCTCCTGCTGCCCTCTAGTGTTGTCCACTCCAATGGGGCAGATGACAGCGGCCCCCCATCGCCGGGTGGGGAGCGTGTGTCTGAAGAATTTCCAGCTGTAGAGGAAAGCCAGGTCCAGACAAAACAAAGTGAACCTCAAGACAGTGATGTCACAGCATTTCCTACAGGGACACTGACAGGTGAGAAATATTGTTGCTCATCCTATGTAAAATGAGTGAATATTTTTCTGGACATAATTGCTTTACCTTGCTCAGCATCTCAAAATATAATGGCTACTATAAAGGAGGAAAACCTTTTGTAATGTAAAGCCTCCTATGCTTGTTACTGTTAATGCTAATGTGCAGCAATTCTTAGTGTTGCAAAGCAAGATCTTGGTTGAAGATGCAAATGGTCAAGGTGGGAATAATCATGGTTATTTTTCCTGCAGGGATCCCTGCATATGTATTTTCTGAGGAGTGCGGCTCTATTGCAGAGATGGAAGCCCTGCACATCTCTGAGGAGCCTACAGAGGGTGTGTTTGGCCTCACACCAACGCCCCATACTACAGAAGATCTGTTCACTATCATCCACAGGTAATGTGGCACCTCATATAGGGTCCTGTCAGGGTGCTGATGACCTCTAATCTTGGGATCTACATGATCTCTGTTTGCCTCGAGCCACCGCAACCTAAACCGTAAACAAATATGCTGCACATCCTTTCCATGTCGTTTAAACAAAGCCACGGTTTGGTGAAGATGTCACTTCTCCCTGACTTAATGGATTACTAATTTAAATTTTATTTAACATTCTTGTATTCAGTCAGCCCAATTAGCCCATGGGGGCTGTAACTTCACACGTTTGATGTCAACCCTAATCTAGTTATTATTATTACATTTAACTGATATTTCCAGGGCAAATGGGAGAACTTCAAATGCTCCTCCCACTTTTCCTATTCCAAAACGATACAGTTCTGTGTGAGAGTGTGACAGAAGATTGTTTACAGTTTGAAATAAGATTTCGAGTGCAAAATAACCCATCAGCAGTAAAAAGTACATTCTCGGAACCAACTTCTTTCTTGAGAGCTCCTTATATCCGCCATATCTTTTTTCCTCCTTCGTTGTTTTCTCACACTTACCGCTATGCTCCAGTAAGATAGATTAAGGCCATATGTTCACTGTGACAGTTAATGCCTTGACCTTCGGTAGGTCTTGGGCTGTGAGATGAAACATATGGTCTTAATGAATCTCCATTAACAGCCTCCTGTTAAACACAATGGACAATAAGAAAAAGGTAACTGTCACTTTTTGTTCCAAAACCTTGGACCATGTGGATTCTAATTGAATTTTTCTCACCCTCTCTTTTGGGCCAGGTCCAAACGAAAAGTTCTGGGGCGCAGGGAACCGTCGGCTACCTTTACCAGTCGGCCAAGCCTGGTGTCTCCAGTGCGGACTGACCCGCGGTCCCACACGCTGGGGGCCACACCCCGATCCAGTTCACGGAACCAGAACTTCATGGCCCTGTTGCAGAAGAAGAACAACAAACCCAGCACTGGCAGCAGAGTGTCGGCCATGGAGCTTTTGAAGAGCACCAACCCACTCGCCCGCCGGGTTACCGAATTCAACCAGTCTGAGCTGGACCCGACCGATGGCCCCAGAACACCCCAGGGACAGTGAACTCCTGGCCAATTTGGAAAAAGGCAGGGAGTCCTGTACTGACACGTCGCATTTATATGACATTTATTTGCAGAGATCTCCAACCAGCGAGACACCACTCTCAATGTTCTGTGGATTCCGATTCGGAAAAAGTCACAATTATGTTTTCTTTGCTGTTCAAGTCACAGTCCAGTAGTCCCCTGGGCCACACTGGAAGAACATTAGCGTAATTGTTCTGGGAGTAAGAGTGTGGAACATAAAAAAATCTAACTGGAAAAATAACATCAGTGGAACTGTTTTGTAAAGCATGGAATACTACAGCTGATCTGGAAGGGCAACATCGGGAACTTGGGTGGACACAGATATGAGTAAGAAAGTGAAAAGAGACTCGGATATCTCTATGGAGTGTGGTCTAGCTGGACCAAAATGGATATTTGCCTCCTGAGAACAAAGCATAAGTCTCATTTAAAGGTCTTCAAATGAAAGCAAACAGGTAAACAATCCAAAACATTCCACAAAGACTTGCAAGAAGGACATGGTAGCCCTCATGTTCTAGGGAAAAAAGCACTTTCATTAACTTAAGACATGAGCCTACAGCCATTTTCCCCCAAAATATTGAACTTGTATATAGCTATATATAAATATATAAACTTAACTGCAGAGCTGTTTGATGGTTTTAACAAGCGAATGTAAATGTACAAATGCCTTGGGATGAAGGACATGGAAGACAGCCACCACACATGACCTCTGAAGGTTGCCACGGAGCCCTACTCTGCCCGGATACACACACTATGCGCAGGAACCAGGAATGGTCTGCAGGGGTTTGGCCGTGCTCGCTGGAGGTGGACTGGGGCTAGATGGAGAGGAAGTCAGGTGATCTTGGAAAGATGCAAGGGAAGACACCTCCAGTGCAGCCACAGGTTGCTACCGTCCAGTGTCGCTGTGCAATCAAGTGTTTCTTATCACTCAGGAAACCCTTTTGGCGTGTGTGAGCATACACGCATGCTAGTGGACACACATACACATCAAACCACCTGGCAACAGCGAGGATGACATTTGTCCTCAGGGTGGCTAGATTGCTTTGGCTGTTATCCTCTGCATGGTGTGTGATGGCAGTACGGGACACTGCGAAAGGATACTCTGCCTGTGCCTGTAGTGTCAAGCTACAGCCTTGCCTGAGGTTCAGCTAATCTTCTTGCTATCTCTACAGTCAAGGTTAGAGAAAGTCACAAAAAGGAAGACGCATTCCTCAGAGCAAGGGTTTTCCAACCAGATGTCCACCGCCCTCTGGTGGTCGGTGAAGCAGTTGATGGGGGTCCACAGGAATGTTGACAAAATGCTGGTACTGTCATCCAGTTTAGATTAAAAATGTTGGATGCGTTGTTTGTTGCTTATGTGATCATGCATTAGTGGTAGGGGTTTAAGAAAGCTTGATACGCTCTGCACTCTAGCATTCACGGTAGACACGAGTTGCAGCCAAAAAACGTTAGTTCCCTTGAGCCAGGTTACTGAACACGGCGTGAGTGGGTGGGTTGGGGTTGTTTAAGGTGGGGCAGGGTGAGGGGGGGGGGGGCAAAAGCAGGGGAACAATAAATGCACAGATTCCAGCGGCAGAAAAAACACGAAGCAACTGAGCAAATGAAGAAGCGTTTGGAGAACTAAAGATGTTGCCCAAAAGCATCACGGTGAAATGAACTGGGACAATTCTCTCAGTAGGCCGGGATATGGGTGCAGCATTCCGGGGAAGCTGTGCTGCCGATCCGAAGCGTGTTTATAGGCATGCTGAGACAGCCGACATCACTGGCCGCGGCCGGCCGGACTGTCTGTCTGTGGTGCTGGGACCCTGTACACATTGGTTTTCTGCTGTTCTTTCCATATATCGATATTTCAGGTAATCCAACGACTTATAGATACAGAAAAAAAAAACTAAGTAAATGTGTGACGCTTGTTTTAAATATTTAGTGAATGAAACAGAAAAAAGAAAACCAGTGTTTGTTTGCCTTGTTCTCTGGCGTTCTGCCTCTATGTTTTTTAAACACCTAGGTATTGCACTTCCATTAGGAGTATCCAGAGGATGTTTCATTGTTATGATAACCACTATTATAGTTGTTATAACCCATGTGTTTCCTGTACTGCCCTTCTGCCAGTAAAGGCCTCTGCAACTTGTTAGCTCAAAGGGTCTCTCTATTAACCCCCCTGTGCAATTGGCTACATTGACCAATGTACCCCACTCTCCTGAAGTCTGGGCGTGGGATTTTAACTCCGAAGGGTTGTCCTTCAGGGTAGAACAAACCCAGACACCCTGTCGCACATGCTCAAGTGTGTCAATGGCTGTGCTGGACCACATCAGGAACAGGTTCTCTATGGCTTGGAAGGTGGGGCCCAGCTGTAAGCCATGTTCCACCGGGGTGAAATTCTCTTCCTCTCCCCCAACTCTCTCCGGGGGCTGCTCATGGTGGGGGGGGGGGCAACTTTTAAAGCTTTTCCTTACTCTCAGAGGGGAGGTCGAAGAGGGAGAAAATGGAGACGGCGAGAGGATGCAGAATAACATTGACTGCTAACCATAGAGTAGAAGACGACGTTCTAGGTTGCTATAGCTAACAGTGAAGAAAAAACAGGAACACAGAAGAGCGTGGTTGCAATATGAAGTGTTATTCTGTATGAAGTAGAAAAGAAACTGCAGCAGAACTGATTTAGTACAGTAGATAGGTAGTAATCTAACAACTGGTTTATTACTTTGGCTTGGGGAGGGCACTTCGCCTGACAGATTGCCAGAATCGAAAAGCTTTAAAAACGCTCCCTCGTGGGACGAGGCAGCAGTCCATGCGGGTTTATAAACGAAAACTGGGAATTATATTTTTGTTATTTTACATTGTATGGACATATTTAAAATATTCAGAGTATTAACCTCAGTCTCCAGTGAGTCTGTTAAGCAGTTCAGTCTCGCCAATGTGATGAAATTATATCATTTAAATAAATTATTTTTCTTGCTTAAGGAATGCACACAGACTGTTATTTATTTTGGTACAAAAAATGTTTTCTTTATGCTGCGAAGCCATTACTCTCCTTCCCTCTTTATCTCTTTCGGCCTGTGTCTCTCGCTCTCTCCACATCGTGTCAAGTTCTGATAAAAAAAAAAATTCGGAATATTTTCGGTTTTAAATTTGCTGTTCTTTCACGCCCAGCGTTCGAAGTAAGATTTGCACTGTTGTCGCCATTCTGAAACCCAGAAAACGATGTTTTTGTGTTTTGCGTCTGTTCAAGATTAAAATCAGATAAGTGGAGCAGGAAAAACATTTGTTTCAAAGTAGAATATTAGTGCAACATAAAACCAAAAAAACAGCTTATGTAAGCTGCTATCCTTAGATATATATGTGCTTACACTGCCGTCTTGTGGCTGGTAAGGTATTCATTTCTTTTGTAATGCTCAGTAACTTTTATTCACTCGGTTATGATGAAGTGATTTACATTTAGGATAATTTATAAAACATTGTTGTGATAATAATAGATACTTCATTTATCCTTCTCTAACTGTAAGTGAGAGCAAGCTGTCTACCTGTTGCAATGCCCAGGGAGCTGGGGGTTAAGGGTCTTACTCAAGAACTCACAGATGTGCCAGTGCTGGGCTTGAACCAACACGCTTCTGATCACAGGCACAGAGGTTTAGCCCACTAAGTCACACACACACACATTTAGGTGCAGAGGATATAGCTTGTTTATAAAACACATTGTACTTGGTTAAGCTCCACTTGGGTGTGTCCAGTGTTAAATGAACCACATGTTCTAACTGTTTTGTTCAGATACAGTGTTTGATTGCATTCAGTATTTCTCAAGATTTGTCACAGAGAAGGTACTCTTCCCAAGACATCTATGTATAAGCATTAGACATGCAAGGTGGGTGGTGTAGCAGATACTGAACTTACAGCACAGAGGCTACAACAGGATCTTGATTTAATTAGTGACTGGGCTGATACCTGGCAGATGAAATTTAATGTAGACAAGTGTAAGGTACTCCATGTAGGGAGCAGAAATATAAAGTACAGATATTTTATTGGTTTCACTGAAATAAAGGTAGCTGATTATGAGAAAGACCTTGGTGTGTATGTTGATGCTTCCATGTCTCATTCTCGCCAGTGTGGGGAAGCAATTAAAAAGGCCAATAGGATGTTGGGCTACACATCTATGTGTATGGAGTTCAGGTCAAGGGAGGTGATGCTACAATTATACAATTCCTTGGTAAGACCCCACCTAGAATATTGTGTGCAGGTTTGGTCACCATACTGTACCTTAAAAAGGACATTGCTGCCTTAGAAAGGCTTCAATGTATGGCTACAAGAATGATTCCTGGTCATAAAGGAATGTCTTATGAGGAGAGGTTAGCTGAGCTGAATCAGCCTCGAGCAAAGGAGACTAAGGGGGGGCATGATCCAGGTATATAAGATTCTAACAGGTCTGGATGCTGTTCAACCAAATAGTTACTTAAATATCAGTTCAAATACAAGAACCCGTGGCCATATGGGGAAATTAGCGGGAGAACATTTAAACTGGATTTGAGAAAGCACTTTACACAGTATGTAGTTAGGGTATGGAATAGTCTTCCTGTTAGTGTATAGTGCAAGATAAAACCTTGTGTTCCTTTAAATCAGAACTAAATAAAATTGTAACAACTTTAAGCTATTAGTCAAATTTTCTCCAAACGAGCTTGATGGACCGAATGGCCTTATGTTCTTATGCACTGATTGCATTGGCCAACAATTGGTATTGGCTGACATAGCAACAATCGGCCATTGGCCAATGGTTAAAAATGAGCCGATATTTATTACCGATAATTCCCTTTACAATGGTGATCCATATTGCTTTGCACACCCGCGTACTAAACAGTTAGACAAATATCTGCTGGGTGAAATTATTTTAATGCTGGTGAAAACATCGTTAGAAATGCATTTTGCAAACTTTGCTCTGCTAAAATTTCATGAGGAGGAATCACTAATCAGCATTTCAACACACAAATTTGATTGGTCACCTTAAGGCGGGACAGTGAAGAGTGTGAAGAGTGTCTGAGAAGACATCCATTTCAATGAAGAGGGCTGCAGTACTACCCGGATAACGCTAATCTGTCAGTAACGCAAGCGTTTGAAAGCGAAAGAAAATTCAGTGCAGACAGTGCGAAATCAAAAGATATTAAGTATATACTGTATTATGGGGTTTATCACACTTGATGATCAGCCCTTCTCTTTTATAAATGTTATAAATATATAAGATGTATAACTATAAAATGCCCTGGCACTGTTGTTGTATGGCAGAGTTGGTGTTTTCTTGCCAAAACAATAAATAATTTTTCATACTTTTGTAATGTATTTTGTTTTTAATTTATGAGTGTCCCTTTATTTAAGCAGAACCTCCCAAGCAATTGATATCGGTGTCAGTTTTCGAAATAATCGACTATCGGTATCGGCCAGAAATTACATCGGTACATCACTAATAAGTATATTTAGTCTTGAAGCAATTCCAGTTAATGAAAATTCCTGAATGGCACAACAGTCTTGACCAAACCCACAATTATGAACTTAGGAAACTTTGGATCATTAAGCAATTAAGGCATCTACCGCTCTAGAACTGACGGATCATCAAGCAATTAAGCTAATCTCCCGCTCTGGTCCCCTAGAAAACTTAAAATAAATGGAAAAAGGTTACAGCACTGCGAAAAAATATTTGCCCCTTATCTGAGTCTCTGCATGTACTTTACAATCAGATCCTTAAACAAAATTAGACATTAGGGAACTTGTATAACACAACTCCTAATAAGTTTTATTTATGTAATTTACTTATGTAATTTGTTTAATCAATGATCTGTGTGGAAAAAATAGTCACTCCATTATGAATTTATGCTACTTTTAGGAGCAATTACTGCAACCAAATGTTTTTGTAATTTTACTAAGATACTGAATGCTATCAAATGCTGTCACACAGCTCTGTGAACTTCTCAGAAGCAGGAGCTGCTCCTGTCAGGTGCTGGTATCCTATTCCTCAACCATTCTGGTGGTGACTTGCTGGTATGTTTGTGGTTGCTGTATTGGTTCATGATCCTGCTGGACTCCAGATTAGAGCGATGGCCTGACATTTTCCTGAGAAACTAGTGCAGAGCATTTAGAACTCTGTCAATGGATGCAAGTCATACAGATCCTGGTGCAGCAACCATTAAACCATCATACTGCCACTACAATGCATGACTACTGGGATGGGGCTCTACAGTGCTTTGTTTTTTCCGGAGATGCTGCAGTCCACGTTGACCAGAAAGTTCCGCTTTTCACTTTCCATATGACACTTTGAAGAGTTTAAGGGTTCTCCTATAGTTTCCTATAGATGCTTTTCATCAGCATTTACAATGTTATCTTACTAAGCAATGGCTTTCACTCTGCCACTCTGCAATGTATTTTCACCCTGATATTAAAATTATGAACCTTGACTTTCAGTCAAGGTAAGAAGGACCTAAAGATGTCAATCTAGAATTCTTTGTGATTTCCTCATGAATTTTATGCCTTGTTCTTTCAGACAT